GGCGGACCCGAGAACATCAGGACCCCCAGCCACTTCCTTCCCTCCGAGTCAACACAATGAGCCAGAACAAAGGCATCCCCCTCTGCCTGGCACGACTGTCCCTGGAAACAGGCCATATCCTGCAAACTCAGATCCTTATCAGCCCCTTGTTAGTTCCAGAACATGTGTGTGCAGAAAGAAACACCACCTCAAAAACTCCACGTCTGCCTCAGAAATAACCACCTCTCCTCGTGTTACACCAGCAAACCCATCTTCTGACTGAAATCTCTGGTGTGGCTGAATGGGCTGCACCAGCAACACACCCATCCGACCTCGGCAGGACCCTGAAACTCCCTCCCTCACAACAGCAAAGACGTGGCCAGCAGCAGCTCCCAGGACACGGGACAGCGAGGGTGACGAGCGGCTCTGCCATCCCTGCCCCTCCACCCTGAGAACAGCGGCTGTTTGCTCCCAGCTCCCACAGCCTGTACCCTGCACAGACCCACACCTCTGCCGTCCCCACAGGCAGCTGCCCCAGCTCCAGCCCCAGCCCAGCTCAGGGACCCCAGACCGCTCTCGCCTCTCCCGAGAGGCCCCTCGTTGCTCAGACACAGCCAAAGCGGGAGCGCAGCTATTCCCACAAGTAAGGGTGTCTGCAATCCCAGCCTCCCCCTCCAGACTGTTTCCAAGAGCTTTTCTCCAGCTGTGCTTGGGAAACCTTTGCAATCTTCACCCGGCCCCTGTCCCACATGGCCGGGGTGACTGGGGGTGACGTCCCCGCTGCGGGGCTGCCGGCCCGGCCGAGGGCCCCGGGCAGCACATCCCTCTCTCCTGCGCCTGGTATAATTCCTGCATTTTTTTCCCCTGACTCTTCTTCAATCTCATTGCTTATTCCAGCCGTGGAAAACCAGCTGGAGGGCAGCTGGTGGCTTTTCAGCACTGTGTGCTGGGTCACTCCTGACTCCAAGCCCACCTGCACCTGCGGAGCGTGCCGGCCGGCTCCGGCTCACGCACAGGACAGCTGCTGCGAGGACAACCAGCAGCTCTGGCACGTCCCACTGGGGACGAGGACGTTGCTGCTGAGCAGCTCTCATGTGCAGCTCCCCACCCGTGCCTGGGCACTGCCCAGATGCCAGAGAGGGTCTTCTCCTCCCTGCCCAAGAGGTGTTTCTGCTGTGGGAAGGGCAGCTGCCCGGTGCGGGCAGAACGTGCCTGCAGACACAGCGGCTGGAGGACAATGGGACCTTGCTGGAACAATCAACAACCATCCCGGGCCCAGGGGTGGCTACCACACAAATCCCTGCTCTGGGCAAGGCACTGTGATCTCTGCACTTCATTTCACTCATGACTCATCCAGAGGAGCCACATTTTTAACATCAGGCATTCCAACTACTCTATTTTTATTGGGAAAACACTGACCCTGGAATTGGGCGAGTCCAAAATCCTGGGTCTTGGCATCTCTGCCTCTTGGAGGGGTTCAAACTCTGGATCCCAGTCAGCAGATGCAAACCCATCCTGTTCTCTAAGACAGCTTGGATCCAGCTGGCACAAAGACAGCGGGTAAACAAGATTTCTCAGAAGATTTTTATACCAGCAGAACAAAAATCGTGCCCTGCTCTGTGCACCAAGCAGGGCTGTGCCCAGCGGCTGCACGTGTGCCGGGATCGAGCTGGCTGCCACCTGATGAGCTTCCCAGAAACATTCAGCTCTGATTCAAGGTCTAATTTTCTTTCACCCATTTGCAACGTGCCACCCCCTGGCCCATTTCACAATCTGACACTACAGCTGTGCTGTCCCTTCGGCACAGAGCTCCCCGGGAAGCCGTTTACTTTGGGAAGCTCCTTCCCGCTGGCAGAGCCACTGGGACGGGCAGCTGATGGCTTCGGACCCTGTGGGTGCCTGGATGGACCCCGGCCCCGTACCCAGCGTTGACAGTGGCTGGCTGCCAGCTGACAGGGTGCTGGGCTGCTCTGTGTTCCTCTGATTTCAAACAATTCAGGGCTGTCAGATCTGCCTTGCTCCGTGGAGTGGGCTTTGGTGTGTTTTTCAAGCCCGAGTTCCCTTGCAGTGAGTCACCCAGGCAGCCCGGAGGGTCCTGCACTCACCACCCCGTTGCTACAACACATGTAAACACTTCCCCTGTCACAGAAAAGGCCGATGAGACACAAAGCTGAGCTGCATTCCCAGCCTCCAGAGCTCCTCACACACTGCAGAACCACCAGCCAACCTGGGCCACACTCCCAAAATGCGAGGAGGGCTCCTGGAATGCTCTCGGAGGGGCTCTTACTGTCAGCCTGTAAAAACCAGAGTCCCAGAACTCCCAGCCACTTCGATCTCCAGTTTGAAGTTTTAATGGATGATTTTTCACAGGCACATGCTAATCACATCTGCAATTCATTCTGTTCAGTTATTTTTACATAGTTGCAACAGCACAAATGGTTGAGTTTGGTTGACGTGCAGCTGTAACATGCAGAACACGACCAGTTCGCATCCCCAGGCTCTGCTATGACCAAAAAGGGCTGATCCCGGCTGCTGCTGGGTGAGCCAGAGCTTTCTGCACCCCCTGTGCCACACCAGCCCCTCCTCTGCCCACCCAAGGAGGGTCAGACAAGCCTGGGGACAGGCTGAGGGAGGATTAAAGGCATCTGAGCAGAAGAAGACAATCTTCCAGGTCAGACTGAGCCCTGCCAGAGAAGAACAGGTTCTGCACTCCCATTGCCATGGTAACTTTGCTCTGCCAGTCCTCAGAGGATGCTTTTGTGTGCTGACCTTCCACCAGTGTCACAGGAAGGAGGAGTCAGTTATTCCTGAGGAACAGCAACACACCTGATAAGCACCCACAGCCCAGCAGAGCTCAGGGATACAGGGATGCCCTGCGCAGAAGAGGGGAGAGCTGTGCTCTCTTCTCCAGAGCCTTGTTGGAACAGACCTTTTCTGTGGAGATTGTAATTGCTATCAGACTCTCTTGCTATATCACAAAAAAACTGCCTTTTTAAAAATCTTATCACTCTCCTTGAAAAGGAGAAGTTTTCCCTGGCAGCTTCCCCTAGAGACTCTGATTCCTGGGCTGAGTTTCCCTTTGCCCAGCTCCCAGGGCAGCGGGATGGACGTGGCCGTTCCCAGCGGACAGCGCTGCACACACCACCGGGTGCCCACCCAAAGGGAGCTGAGGGTATTTTCTCCAGTAGCCACACAATAAGAGGAAGGCTAAGAGGGCACTGTGCTGTTACCAGGGCCCCTGTGGCATGAGATAAGTGTTAAATAAACAGCAGTTCAAGCCACCACCAGCTCCAGTCTGTGTGCAGGAGCCCAGCTCCTGGTGAACAGCGGCCGAACGGAAAGGGAGGCTGCAGCGCCTGCCTGAGATAACTGCAGTTCTATGTCACGCAGTTTGTGCTCTCTGCCTGGCTTTTATCTGTGTAACACAACAACTTCAAACCACCCCACAAACACCTATAAACTAAACCTCACAACAAGCCTGAGGAGGGAGGTGTTACCAGGTTGCTGTTTCAGAGGGAGAAACTGAGGCTCAGAAAACAGGATTTGCCCAGTCACAGCAGATGCCAGCGGAGCCAACTGCTCCTGGCTACTAGCCCTTCGTGCAAGCCACACAGCAATTCCTCCCTCCCAGAGCGCAGAGGCAGCACACAACAAGTCCCATAATGCCTGAGAGAAAACCACAGCCCCTCACCATCCATTCCAACCAGGGCAGCAGCATGCAGCAAGCAGGGGAGGCGACAAGCGGAGGCATTTCTGCCCAGGGACAGATCAGCCCTGCGGGTCTGGAGGCTGCAGCAGCCGCAACAGGCAGAGAGGGCAAAGGCTCTGGAATCAGCAGCTTTCAGAGCTTCAGAAGAGGTTCAAAGCGATCTTCAGGGGGTACTTCTGCTGAAGGCCCTAAACTGCTGCCTCCTCCTGCGTCTTCTGCTGGTTTGGGCCGTGGCAGCGCGGGCGGAGGGAACTGTTCCCGAGATGGCTCACAGGGCAGTCCCTGGCGAAGGCTCAAAGCACACGCTCTGCATCTTCTCAGGCTGAGATGAGGAAAACTGTGTTTCAATGGCCAGCAGAAAGGAAGCACCATGGAAAAACTTACCTGTCCCCACTGGGAATCTGCTCAGGAACTTCGCCAACAAAGTAATCCGGGTTAGCATGGGAACAGGCAGAGAGAAAAGGCACAGGGGTGTGATTTAGTAAAGGGAGAAGCCAGGTAGTAAACTCTGACAGAAAAGACAGTCAGCAAAGATTTATTAGAAGGAAGAGTGTCCTGTAATTTACAGCAGGTCCTAGGAGATGCAGGATCCCTTCTATGGTGCCGGGCACGTTTACACTGAATGCTGCCACAGGGACAGGTTCTGCTCTCTTTTCCCACTGCTGTTCACAAGGGATTTGATGTTGGCTGTTCTGCAGATATCTCCAATTTCTGTGGTGTAGCTAAAAGCAGAGTCTGCTTCTATGTGTAAGATTATGAAAAGACAGTGATTTTAAAACCCTATATTTAATTAATTCAAATACACAAGCTGGAGAGACTGAAATCCCTGTGTGATTCCAGAACACCATCCACTGGCTTTGTCAGGTACTGACCACACCCTGAACCAACGCTGGACAATACCCAGCAGCTTACAGACACCTCTACCCAGTGACACAGCAAACAGGCTCACCGCAAAATCAAAACCTCTCTCTTCTGCTAAACACACCCCGAGGACAGGGGGTGGCTACTCAGCACCCCTCGCAGCTGCTGGCATATAAAATTAACCCCTCCATATGCAATAGGCATGGCCTCAGCTCGTACGTTCCAAAGGTTGAACAGATTTTATCTCCAATGGTGCCAAGAGGTCCATAAAATGAGAAGCCTCAAGTCCTTAGAGAGAAGACTACTGAATCCTGCAGCAAGAGGACACCAAAGGATACTGCTGAGACAAAGGAGAAGATTTAAAACACGAGGGGGAAAAGAAAAATAGGTTGGGATTAGGTAAATGTTAAAGGGATAAGCTAGTTTGTTCTCAAGCAGTATCTGACCAGCAGAAGTCCTTCCACCCTCTATAATTTTGCATATTGTGCAATCTTCTCGGCACCTTTTTCCATCAGGCACGTCTAGTTACTCTGTGTCCTGGGAGCAATGTCCTAAAAGGCTGTATCTTCATTAGCTGGTGAGAATGAGCAGTGTAGTACAGGACTGGAGCTGGTTCAGACCTGGGAGTGGAGAGCAAGGGAGGAACAGCGCAGGGAGGGGAGGAGGCTGTGTTTGGAGAGGTGCTTTTGCCTAGCAGTGAGTCAGAAAAAGGCAGGGCTGTAGGAAACAGAGAAGTAAATAGATTGCAAAGTGAAAAGGCTTTTTTTTTTTTTTTTCCTATCCCCTGACAGCAGAAAAGAGTTTTGATCCTATTATCAGTCTGTTTGTACAACTGGCTTTACTCTCAGAACTGCTCCTCCCGGATAAACCTGTCTCAACTGATTAATAACTCCAGAGCTATTTCTGAACAGCAAAGCAGTAAAGATGGAGTTTGCATTACAGATGATTTGCAGATAGATCTGTGCTCATACTGACATTTGCATCCTCACATGAAGCTATAGACTAAACATCCTGAGGCTTTTTATTCTAAATATTTGATTTTCCCTCACTGACATTAAGCATTTTTGTTTCTGGTCTTTGTCTTCTCTTGCAGCAGGACAGTGGACCCACAATTCTTCAGGTACTTTGTAAGTTATAGAAGATCCCGCAGAATCAAGAGGACAATATTATCCCAAACAGGATAAAAGAGGGCTAAGCATGTTGCTGAAAAGCTTATGAGTCACTGCCATGCTCTAGGTGGGTCACATCACAGTACATCAGAGAGCGGAGACGGTGTCGTTTCTACTCAGCCAGGGAGAGCACGTCACACTTCTGGGCTGTGGCAAGAGACAGCGCCAGCGCCGCGGCAGGAACCTCTCGGTCTCTCCGAGTCTGTGCCTGGCTCAAGCGGAACATTCCTTGGGCTGTGTTGGCCCCAGCGTGGGTGCTCAATCCCCCACCTGCCAGAAACTGCCTGTGCCCTGTCTGGGTCCAGGACAGGGTGACAGCACACGGTGAGTCACCCGCGGCCACCGCAGCGCTGAGGGACGCGCCAGCTACAGAGCGTCCGTGTTTATATGAACTGGGGGGACACGCAGGGGTACGGCCTCTCCCACCACGCTCACACCCCTCCAGGGCTCCACAGCACCTGCAACACGAAGCAGCTTTTACCATCTGCCGCTCCAATTCCCACCCAGGGAACGCTGGGGAGGAGCAGGACCGTGTCTTTCCAGAGAGGCACAGTCTGAGCACTGACTGGCTTCTTGATTTCTTTGGTTTCTAATCCCAGACCTGCAAACTGGGTTACCTGTGGCCATGGAGAGTTTTTCCCACTGTGTGTCCACGATGGGTTAATTCATGTTTGCTGCAGGCTCATATCCAGCTTAGAAATGGGAAAACGAGCCACAATCTCACAGAATCACAGAATATTAAGGATTGGAAGGGACCTCAAAAGATCATCCAGTCCAATCCCCCTGCCAGAGCAGGAACCTAAATGAGATCACACAGGAAGGTGTCCAGGCGGGTCTTAAATGTCTCCAGAGAAGGAGACTCCACACCCTCCCTGGGCAGCCTGTCCCAGGGCTCTGAACACTGGAGGAGAGAGCACAGCCGGCATGTTCTGCACTTCATTGTCCTGCCATGCGCAGTGGCCCCACTGGCACCACACAGACAACACGACTGATGCTCAGATCCACTGCTGACAGGCACAAGGGAGGCCTGAGAGAGGAATATCTGATCAGTAGGAATATCACCTCTGGTTTTATTTGCACAAGCCATTAATCACCTGATCTAACCTTACCCCAGCTGGCCGAGCAGCCTCTGGCCCGTCGCTCCGAGACAATCTATCGCCGCACAGCTCAGTACGTAACTCTGGTGCTGAAAGGATTTCAGCAAAACACATGGTCCTGGCACTAACTGCTTATAAATAATACCTGAGCAATGAAATATTAATGCTGCAACAGAGAAATCCATGCTCCAGAGCTGTCTTTTGGTAGAAAGACCCAGAATCTGCACTAAGAAAAATCCTGGAAGTGAGAGCTATTAACAGAGTGAAGTTTTTTTAAAGGCTCAGTCTCCTGTGAATTATTATCTTGATACTATTATAATTCAGGAATGTGCAGAGAATACGAAGGACTCTTTGCACGTCAGGGTGTTAACGTGGTGCCCCTCACAATGGATGGAGAATTCAGTGCTGCAGCCTGAAGGAAATGAGTCAAATGGCATTTCTCTCCCTCCCCATGGATGGCATTTTTTCACCTCTAATTTTGCTACTTTTGTGGCCAAAAGCAGGAGAACAGAGGGAAAGACACAACAGATTTCTGAGCTGAGACCCCTCTATTCCAGCAACAAAGGATCTGAGACAAACAGTATCAACTCTTAATTAATATCACTTTGTATGATTCAGATTTTTTGTGGTTTTTAATAGAGGCTTCGTGATTAATTCTCTTTGGTATTTCTTTTAAGAACAGAATAAAATAAAGCAAAAGCAAATGGAACATCCTGCCCCCATGGACCACACGGCTGCAGTCCGTGGGTTCACACACCCTGTGCTCCCTGCCTGTGCTTCTCATCACACCCCCAGGCTCGTGTTCTTTTCCACGCTCTCCTCTGAAGAGCACAGACCTAAAAATGAGGCAGTTCAGGTCTGGCCTCCGAATCTGTCACATTAATGAGTGGGTTTGAAATTCATCCCTCTTCCCCACGATCAACAATCTTGTTGCTCTCATCCATATAAGGCCCACTCAAGGCACAAAAGCCAAGCTGTGCTATTTATATTTCCTCGCCCAGCCCTACCTACCCCACACATTGTACCGCTGAGGTTCCTGTTCTGCTCTGCTCTCCTAACTGCCCGGCCTGTCCCAGAGAAACTCCACGTCTGCCGAGGCTCCGAGCAGCCACTCGAGTCACCTGAAGAGCAGAGGAGCCTTGTGAGAGCCCCCGAGCCTGACGGCGTGGGGAGAGCCCCCGAGTTTGACGGCGTGGGGAGAGCCCCCGAGTCTGAGAGTGTGGGGAGAGCCCCCGAGTTTGAGAGCGTGGGGACCCACCCGTCCACACACCTTCAACAAAGGCCGCTCTCTTTCCGACAAACAAGGCTGCACATCACGAGCCAGATTTCCCTCGAGCTCGGCGCCCACATGAGCCTCCAAATAAAGGACCAGCACGCTTTGGAACATTCAGTGTGTGTGCTACGTGCTGCGAGCGTTCAGATGTCTGGCACTAAGAAAATCAGGCCTTTGGCATTTGCAAGAATAAGTCTAATTGTTGGAGAATGTTTGGAGGAGGACTGCCGTGCTCTCGCCGAGTGCCGACACGCGCCGTTCTGCAGATGAACGCGGCAGGCTGGCTGGTTTCAGAGCAGGAGCTTTCTGCATGGCACATCCATTATTTAATTGTGACCTGTAGTAACCAGCCCCAAATTCTCGTATCCTAAAACCAGGAGATTTCGGATGAAGTCACTTTAGTTTGTTTTAATTGGCAACCACTCTAACCAAAATTGTTGGTGTTCTAATTTCTCTGAGAGACAGGAGCCCTGAGGGGCTCTGTGCCCGTGGGCTGCTAACAAGTGCACGTAGTCATTTGACATTGGACTGTTTAGGAAGGCAAGTCCTGTTTACGCTCAGAGCACTGAACCCCTGTTTACAGAGCTGCTTGTCAAACCTCTGTCACCTTTGCTTTCGGTAGGCTCGTTTTCAAGACAAAAAGATGTGGTAATTTGGAGGGGGTTTGAGTTTTCCAAATTTTATTCCCAATAATCAATCTAATTCCCTATGTTAAGTCAGTACAAAGCCCCTTACCTCAGTAGAGATCAGATCAACTCCTGGCAAAATCAGGTAGAAGTGTATTTGAAACAGTGAGCGAGTGAGAGAGCACCCGCACGTCTATAGGGGACTGCGAGCAACGGCCCGTAAACATTCGGCTCAGTGCCTCACCCTGAGCTGGCACCAGTGAAGGGATTTTCAGTTCTGCACTTTCTCCTCCCAAGTCTGAAACTACGCAGGCAGATGTGCTTTAGGCAGGCAGATGTGCTTTAGGTCGAGCTCTCCTCAAATAAAGTCGGATTTTCATTTCCTCCTAATCTAACAACAAGCAAAACACAACTCTCACTTATAGTTTGACCTCTTCTCCCACGGTCCCAAAAGGTCTTATTTGCACTCCTGAAATAGTCCCTCTGCAGCTCCTGGAGACTCAGTGTGCAACGGTGAGAGAATAATCAAACACCTACAGCTGGTGAAGAACTCATTTATCTTTACCTCCTCTTATTTCTTCCTACCACAGAATCGTGCCATGTTAAATCCCTGGACTACTGCTTCACTCAGCTGTCTTGCTTGAAAACAGCCACGGCTGGGTTTGTGTAACATTTCATGTCTCTTCAGATGAGTTTATCCTTGTTCTCCACAATAAAAGACTAATAAATCTTTGCTATTTTAGCCACAGCGACTGAAAATGCAATTGCACAGGGAAGTTAACCACAGCTTTTCAAAGGCACCTTTTTCTGAGTTAGGAATAGTAATAACGTTGCTCACCATCACAGAATTAATTACATTGGAAAGAAAATATCTAACATATGAGAGGTGGTGGGTCCTGAGAAGTGAAACACTCAATTAGCAAAGAGTTACTTTGTAATCTTTTTCTTTTTTTAAAAAAAATGATAGACACAGTTAGGAAAACACAATGAATTTCCCTCATTTAAACTCCCAGGTGAAGACCATCATAAAGCTTTGGCTTTATAGACTCCTGATACATTTTTTTTTTATATATTTCATTATTATTAATACTGAAACACAGAGGATATTAGTAAACGGGTAACCCAGCAGCAATCAACGAGGCTTCTTGCAACAAACAGCGTCGTTCACTATCAGTAAAGCAGCTGCACATCATCCTGGATTTAACAAATGCCTTCACAATACACACACAAGTGCCTGGAATTACTGATAAAATATTCACATGAATAAATCGAGACACAAACTTGTAACCTGATGTTTTTGCAAATCTGCTGTGCCAAAATGAGCAGCTCACAAAGTGACAAACTGCCAACGTTTAGGATGCTTCCACAGGACCTGGAAGCTTCCTACCTATTTCAGTAACCCACAGGGAATGTTATGTTTAACAATTCCCTTCACTCTTCTCATTTGCAATGTTCTTGCTGCTGCAGGACACTGAGAGCTCTAGTTTATTTCTCCATGGATAGATCCATCCTCCCCCAAAAGCCTGACAGGAAGAGCTTGTAATAAATATACATGTAACGGGTTAGGGTGCCCGTGTGATCTGAATAGGCTGGAGTATTTCAGCCTTTCAGGCATGATAAAACTACAAATGCCTGAGCTCTGAATCAGAGTTACACAGGCCCCCGTACTTGTTAGATTCCTGAGCCTGCTGTGATCAGCTCTCCCTTCAAACCCTGTAACAAGAAGTGTCTTCTCTTTTTCCCTGTTTCTCTTCTCTCTCTTGCTGTGATCTGCACTGGATGCTTCTCTATTTGCCCCTGAGCTGTCTATTATTAACCTAAAGGCTCCTAACTGAATCATTAACTATTTCACTCACTTTTCCTCTGTGGCCCAATAAGAGAGTTTGCTCTGCTAAGAGAGACTCACTCCAGACAGGAAAACAGATGGAAACACATTAACATATTCCTCTCTTTCTTCTTGTTTGATATTAAAGGAAAAATCCAACTCTTAGCTCAGGGGCTGAATATCAAGCAAACCAAAGCTGTTAGTGAAACCAGGCAACGAGGAGATTCAAGACTCGTAGGCTGCAGGAAAGTGAAGGTGGAAACCTGCACCAGCACAACAGCAAAGGCAGATGGAGTAGTCATGAGCTGAATTTTCTCTAAGGTCTCTGTCTGCCCTAGTCAGTGAGATTAACCCCGACGCTGGGGTTACTGCCTCTTGTTGTTATCAGACCCATGTCACAGATCTGAAATATCATCGCTCTCCACGTAGCAATCCACATGTTGCCTCTCAGCAGAAAAGACGTTGGCAGAGAGGTTTACAATAGTCCCTTCCAGAACCCAACGCATTCCTGTTCTTTTTTTAGCTAAGCAGTAAAATCAGGTTATTTTGATACGTCTGCTTCATTGCAACGAGTGCGTAGGGCCATTCTCACCACCTTTGATAAAATTCCTGATAAATATAGCAACTCTATCAAATCTTGGCACAGACAACGTTCAACCATGAATGAGAGAGCTACTTTGGACCCGCCTCACTTTGGACCACCAGACAGTCAGGGGAGTTGGGGGGGTAACGGGCCGGCCATGCAGCGTGACAGAGCCCTTAGCAAAGAAAACACCCGCTAACGGGACATAAAGAAGTGGTGAAATAGCTCCTTACCTGGTAGATCATGACTTTGAAGTTCCTGCGTTTCAGGAGCTCTGCTTCATTGGCCTCCAGCTTCTTTATCTGCCCAGCTTGCTTCTCCAGGTTCTGCCGAACGGTTTTCACGTTGACGCTCACCTTGCGCACCTTCTCCAGCATCTTGTTGACGGTGTTGCTGGTGGTGGTGTGCGCCTTTGTCAGCTTGGTTAATTCTCCTTGGATGCTGGTCACTGCGCTATCCATCTCTTGCTGTCTCTCCTCCAGCTGTGTTTGGGTCAGCTGGATCTGATCCACTGCTCCAATGATCTTGTCCAGAAGGGTCAGCACCATCACACCATTGATCTGGTCTGATTTGATGGGTTCATCAGGCACTTGCTCCTCGGAGGCCTCAGAAGCAGTTGGTGGTTCGATAATTTGCAAAGTAGTATCCTCCATGATCGCTCGGGAGTCCTGGCGAGCAGAGCCCGGAGAAGCTGTCACTACAGGGAGAGAGAGAGAGGAGGGGAAACTAAACCCGAGCCTCAGCTAAACTCTGCGCTGGGAGAGACGCCAGAAATGGAGAGCACAGTGTGTGGATGTCTGTGCTGAAATTCAAATGGCACAGCTCTGCAGAGCCGGCCAGTGAAAATGCCCTGCAAAATTTTCCAGGCTTGCAGGTCATTGGCTGACTCCACCTCAGCTATAGAAAAGGAGCCCGCTGCCAAATGCCTGATGACCCACCCTTTCTGAAATGATTAAAATAGTTGGAGGGGAGGCGATGGCTCTGCATGCAAACACAGGCACAGCTCAGCGAGGAATGCAGAGCTCTGAAACTACAACTGCCTCTTCTTTACCAGGAGTCTAAAGGCACGACAAGTAAGGAGAGGAAAAAACAAAAGCCTTGAATAAACAGCTCGGGAAGCTGCTGGAGAGAAAGCAACCTCATCTGGGCACAGCTGTATCCACTGGAGGAAGGATGGGTTAAACAACCGCACGCGTTCAAGTTCAGCTGGGAAATTCAGACCTTTTGCCAACAGTGAGCTTTTTCCAGGACCACGAGAGCCTGATTCCCAACACTTTAACCAAAGGCTACGACCTGGATTGAGTAGTTATGGCACAAAACTTCTGGATCACAAACAGGCACACTCCCACGTGTGTGAACGTACACAGCAGGTGTACACATAACACACACGGTGTGCACCAC